CCACCTACTTTCGCATAATACAATTCTAACGGAAGTAAATAAAATACTAATAAGAGAATAATCAAAACAATGAACTCTGGATAATGCGTCCTTTATTGTAAATGTAAAAGTGTCTGTCAATACGTGAAGTTAAAAGTCGCTGGGACATGAAGGTATAGAGAGGGCGCAGGAGTAAAGCTCCATCCATTATTTTATTCTGTGGAGGTTTCGATTGTAAATTTCTTTGTTGAAACGATGTTTCTTCATATTCACCGCTGTGAGAACCTCAAGTCTTACATAGTAAACCTCTATGGGAAGGATACTCATCGCTTCATTCATCGCCCTGATGACGGAGGCAGTATGACCTCTGAAACGTTGGTTAACATCGACCAGACTACACAGCGCAACAACCCAGAAGACAGAAATCTTCATACTCACCGCTGTGAGAACCTCAAGTCTTACGATGTTAATTACCTACAGATGCGTTCTTCCAGTTAACTTCCCAGAATTTCTTTGCATCTAATGAAGCATTACTTCCGTTATTGAAAAAACACACGATAATAAAACACAATCACGGGCACAGACGATGATGAATCCTCTTACCACTGTTTATTTATTTATTTATTTAACTACGTTTCATCAGCAGTAGAAATTACGTAACGTTAACCGATATAACACTGTAATTTATTATTTCCGAAGTCTCATTTGTTCCATACAGCCTCGGGGGTCATTAAATTTACCACAAACAAAAATCTAATTTTTTTAAAAAAATGAATCATATTTCAGATTTTTCCACAAACACCTTTCGGCCTCAAAAAATACTGACTGCCCCACCCCCCCGAAAATATTTCTCGTTATTTATAGACTTCGAATGTTCATAACCGCCTTCACGAATATCAGTCTTTATCTTTCGCCAGATTAATTCATCCTATCCTGTTCCTTTAATGTTTATTTTAATATTATCCTTTCGTCTTTTTCCCTAAATATTTTCCGAATAAATTTTTGTGTGGATGTCTCATCTCTTCTATGCGTGTTACATTCCCCGCCCATCATCCTTGATCTGATCACCCTAATTTTATGTGATAAATAAAGTAAACTGTAAATTCCTCACTAAGCAATTTCACTAATTTTCCTTTCAATTCCTACCTCTAAGGGATAATTTTTTTTTAATATCATCTTCTTATACATCTTAAATCTGTTCTTTTTCTTAGGGCGTCAGTCTTAGACCATAACTGTGCTCAAAATAATAAAATATTGTCCAGATTCTTAACATGACCAAAGTATGATAATATGTAAGACTTGAGGTTCTCACAGCGGTGAGTATGAAGATTTCCGTCTTCTGGGTTGTTGCGCCCTGATGATGGAGGCAGTATGACCTCTGAAACGTTGGTTAACATCGACCAGACTACACAGCGCAATAACCCAGAAGACAGAAATCTTCATACTCTGATGACGGAGGCAGTATGACCTCTGAAACGTTGGTTAACATCGACCAGACTACACAGCGCAACAACCCAGAAGACGGAAATCTTATGATAATATGATTAGTTATAAAGCCGGAGTTTATAAATTAGGATTATATTTGTATGGTTAACCCTCCTAAGACACGTAAGTTTAATTATTCTGTTTCTTCATCGCAAATCCTCCGAATACTGAGTTTGATACAAGAAACTTGGCGGTTCTTACGTATTGTAGTCATAGCAACTAACATTCCATCTCATTCGTCATGCATCGTGAAAATTCATTTTCATTCAGGAATGTCCTGTCGTAACAAACAAGCTTACGCAATACGCAGTTCAACTTTGTATTTTCTTGAATTAGACTAGAATTCTTATACCTGCCATGAATGTATTTCTTATTTTAGTGTTTGACGTCGCACTGCGTCACTCTGTGACTGTTTCTATTCATATATTTAATCCAGAAAATGGCAAAAAAAAACCAGACGCAAAAGTTTATCTGAAAGATCTGATTTGTGAAGCTTAAATATAAGTCCATATCGTACGCGTGTATGACATGCTTACTGTAAACATTATGACCACACCCAGACACGGAATATGCTATTTCAGACACTCAAGATGATTATATTAAGAGTATTATACGTATAACTTTGTTAATACAACATAATGCTAACGTCGTCCTAATTCGTGTTCAAATCTCGAAACGGATTTCCATACTAGGGTTTTACGTAGATTTTCTAAGTCCCTCCAGGTAAATTCCGTAACAATATCTTAAATTAGGCCAAAACCTCTTCCTTCCACATCCTTTCCGATTCATGATTCATTATCATCCTCTCATTCGACGCTACAGAGTCTGGGCTGATGATAAAGAGTATAAATAAATACTTCCCTCGTTCTGACAGAGATGCCTAGCCTATTTGTTAAATATTTATCTTATCGTAGAGATAACAGCATTTCAATTGGGGTACTTATTCCAATTTCACGAAGACAAATCTGAGAACGCGAGGTTTCCTTTTGTGGGTCACGAGCCAAATTCTATACGAACACTAAGTAAATACACGTAAAAAAACCCAACAGGTTACACAAATAATAATTTCTCCGTATAATTTTCCAAATCATTTGTCTTCATAAATATATCAACACCCAACGAAATTCCTTTCCGTGGAGTCGATAATTTACATAATTTGTTAGTCAGTCAAAGTTTTATCTAGGAATTAATAACCTATTCATTTAGGCTTCTAACTATTGAGCCTAATCTCAACTGTTTAATTCCGCCGTGTTATATAAGTTCAACGATATTTCAGAGATTCTTACTGCCTCCATCTTCAGTGTAGTCATTTCCCTAATGATGGAGGCAGTAAGCACTTATATCGCGTCTGAAAATTTCTACCATACTACACTGCGCGACAACCCAGAAGACAGCCATCTTTGAACTAAATTAGAATTCGTGTTTGGGAAATATGGTTATGATTAAAAAAATATAACACTTTATATGAAATGAATAACTGCTCACAGCAACGGGCCATCTATCCACTGTGGGAAAATAAAATATTTCACGATCATATGACACTGGGTTTTGGATAAAAAAAACTTTTCGTGGAAAATTACTTCAGCAACAAGTTGAATGATGATTTAACTCAACAGTTTTCTTTTTTGTGAACACACATGTTTTCAATACAGCATCTGAGTATCACATATAATTTGTAGAGGACAAGAGAGGGCATTGTGGTCGATGTCTGTCCGAATGTGACATTCGAGGACAGCTGAAAACATTTTCATGGCAATATTTCAGAGTTATTTTAACATCTGTCTATACTTTAGCACTGTCGTTAAAATTGGACAACACAAACGAAGTTCATATTAACACCTACATGTTTTTCTCGAAAAAATTACTGGGTGGAAAAATCCCAAGGCAATTCCACAATCACGTGAGGAAATCTCCGCCATGACGTCGCCATCCAGGCACGAGAAGCTCCAGTAACACAAATGTCAATGACCCGCAACAACTCTGACGACAGTGGCGCCAGCCGCCGTGGTCAAAGGTGAAATTGTCACAAACGCGACAGAATTATTACACTTACGCACGTGGCAAAGACAGGGTATCGGCTCTCCGTAAACCCACTGCCGTCCGAGAGGGCTGCGTATCACAAAAATTGATAACAGCTACTGCTAAAGACCTTTTCTTTGGTTCCTGTTTGTAGTTCAACGACTGGGAGTAGGAACCGAAGCTTTCACAGCGACTGGCACTTACAAAATCTTCTCTGACCATCAGCCTTTGTCACTTGGTTAAAAAAGAACGACGTTCCACTTTACAACTTTACAACTGACGGTCAGATTTTAATGTAACACTTCCAGCCAAACAACAAGCTAACTAAGACTGTATTTGAAGCTGAAAGCGAGCCAATGGGAGGCCAGCGGGCAGCGTCAGGTGTTTCCTGATTGGTGGAGATAGTTTTCGTCACCAGGTACCAGGGCTGACTGCGAGTGAAACCACCAACAGAGTTAAAACTTCTTGGGGTTGAACCATCTCAACAGCTTCGAAAACAAAGTATTTGGACAGAAAACCGCTTTGTAATGCCGCCCATAAATAAGTCCAAAGCCGGATTTTGCAATCTTTTTTTACATTAAAGCCTAATTTATTTAATTATCAGTGAGTCGGTCTATCTTCTTGAGTTTTTCTCCGGTTTTATAATGGTTCAGAGCAAATTCTTCGTCAGCAAATTGAAATTCGCTTTTACGTGATGAATGTTAACAATATTTTCAGAATTTAAATTACATTTTGGCTTTATAATTCTATGAGCTTTCCCCAAATACATACCCCACGCCGAACTCCTATATGATGAGTCACCCACATAGTCAATATCGAGCCTCTTTCTCCATACCAGAATTGGGTACGAAGCTGTCGTTTATCAACACAAAATCCCACTTGAATAGCTGGCGATGCAAATGGGTACACTGAATCATCATTAAGTACTTATGGTAGCGACTGGACTACACGTGTCAGCGAAACTGGGGCATCTAATGGTTCCATTCATTATCTAACCCCAAATGATACGTGGGCATACATGGGGTATCGGTGAGATGATAGTGACACGGGAAAACCGTAGAACTCAGTGTCGCTTTGTCCACTAAAATCCCTCATTCACAGCTCAGGGTGAACCTGACGTGACTAACCATCTGTTTTATGGCATGACCACAAAGCACTCTTAAATTACGTGACAAATATCAACACAATGAAGGCAAGTCTCAGCTAAGATTGGTAAACGACAATGCGTCCAACCAAATGGACCTTTCAAATCCTAAAATATTTAATGAAATTTAATTATTTTGTACTTGGTCACAAGGGTCGATTAATTGCCACTTAATTTGTATATAAAATGTAACTTTGTATGGGACACTCGAAGATTGGCAAATTACATATTCAGGCTACAATAGAAAATCAAAATTGGACAGGACAGTATATGAAAATGTACTTTTCCGTTGACAGAATTTGTAACATTACTCGAATTCTGTTATGAGGACGTACGACATTCCGGTGGCGGTAAACAGAAAATATGAACTTACCAATTCCGACGCCAACAACAACACGTCCCAACAACAAAACTTCTTTCTGGTTTGAAAGACCCATTATCACAGAACCAGCTGTGAACACGAGGCTGGCTAGAAGAATCACAGGTTTCCGACCAAACTTATCTAAAATAGAAATCAAGAATACAAATTATCATTTTGTTTTCTCAAAAACCGGGAGGTTATGCATAGATTAACATTTTCATTCTAATTGTTTAATTTTAACCGTCTAATCACAATAAAATATTTTATTGTGATTAGACGGTTAAAATTAAACAATTACAATTCATCACAATATGACGCAACATTATCATCTCATTTTCATTCTAAAAAAAAAGAAGATGAAGTTCCAGGAATTAAAACGAGAAGCTGAGAATAGGGAAAACTGGAGAGCTCTTTTTGGGCAGAGCAATGGACCTGTCGTAAGACAGAACACTGAATAATAATAATAATAATAAGATTCGAAATAAAAAAAGACTTAATTATTATAACCACCTGCAAATTTACGTGGCGTCACAACCCATAATACCAGAAACCATGTGAAAACCTTAACTCTCGCCTATTTTCATGATTTGAAATTTTATAATTTAAAACTATTACCGAAATTCATTATTTTTATCATAGACCGATGTTATTTCAACCCTATTTTGTAAAGCGTAATATTTCAAATCGCATATTTTACGATTTTCTCCAAACGGATGTTAACGAAACATAAATACGCGTCTCATATTGTCACAGACAACGCATTAGAACGGTATTTGAATCAGCCTTATCTTCCACTGAACAAAAATCCATCAAGTTCATTCATAGCTTAATTATGTATTTCCTGTGCAGACCGAGATTGCATAAGACGCGGGACCTCGACGGATGCCACATATAAAGGATGACCTCAAATGATCAAATCGGTCTTTAACCAGCATAAAACATTCCAAGCACATTCACACGTAAGCGATATTAACTCCCGAAACACATACGAAGCCCTAATCAAATGCAACCGCGAAGCGATATCATAGTTCGTTTGTATGAAGAAAACACTTACATATAATACGCTATTTACATCCAATAAATGAGAACAACAAACAATGCAAGTAATACTTTCATGCATTTAATTAACATTATTTACTTAACAATTATTTATTTTAATCCGTTTTTATAAATTCTTTCAAATTCTTTAGTGTTTCTTTCAATCATTTACTTACAGGCCGATATGTACATCTAATAACATTTAAGAAAAACAACACCTTCGCCCAAAAAATGGAAAAACAAACGTAATGAAACATCACCAAAATACTACAGAAATCATAATTGAGTTTTAAGTTCTTAGATATATTTTACACCTGATGATGGTTTTATAAAAACCGAAACATGTTGTGTAAATGTTCCGAAATGTAAATCGATCAATCGATATGGAACATCAATGATATTTTATTATCTTAATTATAAGAAATTTTAAATATTGTGATAAGACGGATTAAAATAAATAATTGTTATAATATTCACAATATGACGCAATTACAATATGTTATTATTTACTTACATTGATGTTTACTGGGTATATTTACCGAATATGATGAAGACAAAAGCCCATTTTGAACATGTGGGAAATACAAAAAAGGCAAAATGTCTAATTCCTACTACTGCGTAATTTTCACAAAGAAATAAACGTATCGAGAGTTTTTTTTAAAAAAAACCTTTCGGGAAAACTTTTTCAAAAACGCAATTGTGCGTGTAAACGAATTTGTCCGTTCTCATCTCAAATATACTATATAATCTTTTGCAAATGTAAAACCTTTCTGTTAACGCCTCGAAACATGGGGAAAATTCTCAATTAAATATGTAACGTATGTAGTCAATTTCTTAACAGATACTCCAACATATTTTGGTTTGCCGAAGAAAATTATGCACTCTTTAATGTGACCTTCGAGCAGACGAACAGATTATCTGAAGTTAAATTTCAGACAAATTAAAAAGTTCTGCATTCATGGAGCACTACTGCAGACGATTTAGAACATTTTATTTTTAGTCAAAGTTGCGGCCCGCGGGCCACAACCGGCCCCAGACAACCTACAGTCAGGCCACCGGGATTATTTATTAATTTCTTTGTAGTTACAAGTGCGTTTTCTTTGTTCGGAATATCTTGAAAAGAAAACAGTGATTTTTATCTAATCTGCTGCTTTATCTGCTACTGGCTTTGAAAACTGTGTCAGATACAAACTAGCGCAGAAGCAAATTTAAAATAATACATAACTCTATAGTAATTTATAAATATTTAAGTAAAACGTACATTTCAACTTGTGCTGTGGTAATTTGTTCGTTCTGAACAAATACTGTTAAAAAATAAAAAAGTAAATCTTTCACAGTATACGCCATGTAGGCGCTTGGGGTGAGAGCAGGTATAGCTCCTACTGATTCTCAACCTCAGCACTAGATGGGGTTAACGTCACGCCCAGGTCTCGCGTTACCCCCGGGAAACGACCCCGGTACCCATTAGACAGACTGGGTGGGCCCCAGAGCCGGTCTGGACGCAGAGGCTAGAGGAAAAACCATCTGCCCCCATCGGGGATCGAACCCCGGTCGTCCAGTCCACAATCAGTCACTACACTGATTGAGCTACATACTCTTAAAGACAACAAAAATTAATATTATTTTCAAAAAAATATGCCCGGAAGGGATTCTTGACCCTTGGGTTCAAGGGAAAAAAATATGTTCAACCTGAAGGAAGAAAAGATTTGGACACCTCAGAGATATATTGAATTTACCTTGTGAAAGGGAAATAGCATTTGAGTACATCCCTCGTGATTAGCATTTCAAAGCTCGCAGATAAATACAGCGAATGTAACCCAATAAACACTGCCCCCATTCGGATGTTTCTTCACGTTCGTCCTTGTTTAAACCTTTCTCATAGTAAAACAACGTCTCGCTTGTTGAATGCGAACATTAAGACAAGAACCTTGAGATGGACATTCAATGAGGATGTACTCATCACAATGTTAAACTCTCCTGACGTAAAGTGCAATTTGACTATTCCCACTTTAATTCCAGGCTAAGTGCGGCATTGTAAAATTCACGATGAAAATTAATCATTTACAACTAAAGACAAAAACAGTTTCCACTACTGAAGTTAAAACATTTACAGTAACCTGACCAGAAAATTAATTTAAAAACAATTCAAATTCACGTCGACCCGGAGACCGGCTATCCTGACTGGGGGTGTCTTCGTGGTTTTCCTCAGCACCTCCAGGCGAATTCCGGGACAGTAAATTAAAAATTAGGCCATGACCACTTCCTTCCAAATCCTTCCCAATTCATTATCATCCTCTCATTCGACTACCACTGATAGCACGTGGTTAAATAAACTATAAATAAATATTAAATTAATTATTCGGTTTTTGTCCGTCTAATCACAATTATATTTAAAATTTACAAATAAGATAATTAAAATATCATTTTATGTTTCACATCGAATAATCGATTTACATTTGGAACAACATAAAATGATATTTTAATTATCTTATTTGTAAATTTTAAATATAATTGTGATTAGACGGACAAAAACCGAATAATTAATTTAATATTTGATTCACAATATGACGCAATTATACTATCTTATAAATAAATATTTAAATTGAGACTTCAGATTTTAATTGCATGCCAGCCCCATGAAGGTTAAGCTACAGTTATTTTCCGGAACAGCTGTAAGGAAATCTACAAAGTAAACACTTCCATGCTGAAGATGTGTTCATCTGTGACGTAATTAGTAAGTCCTCTCATTCAGAAGAAAAAACCTTCATTAATATAGTAAAACGAAACCAGTATGTTTCTTGCTATCAAAGTAAAAGTATTCGTCCAACTGAATCGAAACCATCTTTTTACATCACATAAAGAAATTCTATAAAGCGGTAAATACGTTGAACGTAATCAGAAACACTTTTACGATCTAACCTTATCAAACACGCTGGTTTGAGGCTTCTCTTTGCGGAAAGCGGAAATCTCAACTATCTAAGAGGCTAACAACGCAACGCTAACTGGTTCACCGATGCATTCTACGTGGTCGGTTCTGCTACGTTCCGGTATATAAAGAATCAGTGAACCACGAAGTTAAGACAGGATTTTCTTACATTTTCCCCTTTTTCGAAGGGTTAGCCGGGCTAACACGGTAAATATAAACTCTCTGTCCCTGTGTTAAATAAATTCACAAAGATAAATTCTATTACACATAATCTGTCTTAAATTTCCAACGTTCAACTGCGCATGGCGTTTTGGTTTTGTCATAAAAACTTAGTTTCTCTAAAAGTTTTCTTTTGGCCTTCAACCACGACATAAAATTATAATTTCCCTAAAGCTGCTACATTTTCATTTAATCTTAAGCTCTTTAATTTAAATACCCCAACACCAAGAGTAAAGAATACGTACTGGGTTACATTAGGTTAGGTTAGATTAGGTTAGATTAGATTAGGTTAGGTTACATTAGGTTAGATTAGGTTAGGTTAGGTTATGTTGGGTTAGGTAAGGTTAGGTTGGGTTGGGTTAGGTTAGGTTACATTAGGTTAGGTTAGGTTAGTTTACATTATATTAGGTTAGGTTACATTAGGTTAGATTAGGTTAGGTTAGGTTATGTTGCGTTAGGTTGGGTTAGGTTAGGTTACATTAGGTTAGGTTAGATTAGGTTAGATTAGATTAGGTTAGGTTACATTAGGTTAGGTTAGGTTAGGTTATGTTGGGTTAGGTTAGGTTACATTAGGTTAGGTTACATTAGGTTAGGTTAGGTTACATTAGGTTAGGTTAGATTAGATTGGTTAGGTTAGGTTAGCATATTGTAGGCTTAAGTACCATATTATGGTAGAAGTTTACCGACGTTTCAGAGATCCCTGCTGCCTTTATAACCACTCAGACCATAAAGCATCGAAAATGAAGGCTACCGATTTTATGCCAGCCGTCAAGCACGCAAACATATTCCTTCATATAGAATACGAAAGAATATGAGATAAGACTTCCGACATACCTGTCAGCCATCCACCAATGAGAGCGAATATCCAAGCAGCTGCAATTGTTGCAGACACAATGGCTTCATGCCACTCGGTTGAGAGATTGAATTCATCCCTGCCAATACAAGAAGAAAAAATAGATTTACATTTTTTTCTATTAAAATAACACAAACATCCAATTCTCTCCACAACTGCACACAAATAAAAGTCTATAAAACGTAAACTAACGGCATACTTCTACAGTGCCGCAGATAATAAAATCACAATTTTCTTATCCACACTGAAGCAACGCACAGTATCAGAAAAGAATTCCAATCCACATTAGCATAATTTATTTTCCAGAAACGTATTCCTCCGAAATGGCATCATTCCACAAGCTGCCGTCAAAAATAACAATTCATACTTAATCCATTTGCTTTCCTATATTTGTCGCAAGTTCAGCCCGTGAGATGGGCAGAACTTGTGGAAATTAATTAGTAATTAATTAATTAATTAATAAGAACTGTCGTTTTGAAATACGGATACCTCGGGTTCATATCTCGACCTGGACTGACGTTGTTCATGATTTTCTCAGTCCCTCAATGCAAACACTGGGATAGTATCTTAAAACAGGCCACAACCGCTTCCTTTCACATCCCTTCCAATTAACTGTTCATTAACCTGCCCTCAAATAATAAAACTTTTCTTGCAAAAACTTTGCCTTCCGTCTTCCATCCACTGTCAGCAGGCAAAACATGTCTAATCCGAATTTCTCGTCAACTGCAATGCCCTAATGGGTCACTTATCTTATTGAGAGAGCACTAGGTCACAGAGATAATGCACTCGGTGAAAAGTGGATGGGGGAAATTTTGTTTGAAGCATATGAATACTTTTAACCCCGGAAGCCGAAGGTCGTCTAATGAAATTCCGTACAGATATTTAAGAATTATTTATACAAACTGGACTTCACAGGGTTATGGCTTCTGTTACTGGTAATTTGAGCTAATTTTCGTCATAATATATTTTTCTTTCTTCCCGCGATTAGTCTGTTTTACATTTTCCCCAAGATAATGCAAGGGAAAACCCACAAAATAGGTAGTGTTCACTTCTACAGCATTTAAAATTCATAATAGCCTGGGCTGTATGATTAACAACTAATAATAGTGATGGCAAATCTACACTACTGATTATGGACGACATGTCGTAGTAACATCCTGCCTTAGCATATAATTTATTACAGTTTCAGTCTGCCGAACATGGCTAACTAATTAACATATTTATCTTCTCTCTACGCCTTTAAACGAACGGTGACAATGAGTTACTAGTTCAAGGGCGAGAATATTTCAAGCAATGGAAATACATTTCCCTTCAAGCAACAACTGAATAAAAAAGACCAGTTAACAATAATTTAAAATATTTCACAAAATTATAAAATTGTCAGCCCTGAAGATGGACACAGATTTTTTATCCGAAACACTGGAATCTAACTACGAGTTTTCACGACGTCATATAGACGTTTCAGAAGTTCTTCCTGCTTCCAACAGGGCGATGAAGTATGAAGATGGAGGCAGCAAGCACCTCTGAAAAATCGGTAAATTTCTACCAAACTACTTTGTTACAATACTGTGATATAGATACCAACGTTTTCAGAGGACCATAATGAATCCATTTGAAAAATCGAGCTATTGAACAGACAGTCTTCAGCCTAGATGCCACTACGGTAAGGTAAGGTAATTTCCTATCAAAATGCTTCCAGAACCGAGACAGTGCCTTCTGCTTCTATGAAGAAATATAAATTAACTATCCACGTGTTCTCACGTGGCAGAATGTCAAACAAAGTTGTATAATACGTAACAGACCAAGCGTGAAATCGTTTCGATGTTAAGTCGCAATATCTGAAGAAATTTTATTCTTATAAAGAAAATTTCGTAAACCGTACTTATATAATGGATACAATTAAGCAATAATAAAAATTTTATTGCGAAGGACACATATACAAAGTATATTTATATCTCAGAGGGGTATAATTTATCCACAAAAAAAAGTCATCGCATGTCCGGGAATGCTTCATTATAGATAATAGTATATTTTTCGAAGTCAGAGACACAATAAAAACAGCATAATCGTTTAAAAATTTTCATACTTCCCTTCCTTGTTCAGGATCCTAGTAAACGAAATACCTGTAACTCCGCAAAGAATAATTCCCCGACATAAACTGACTATAAAATACTTTTCCAGATTCGGTCTGATATCTCCATGTATTTCCACGAAAAAGGGGTACATCGTGTTTTGGTAACTACGTGAAATAAATACAAAAGATTAAAACAAAACATAAAAAAAAAGACTTGAGGTTTTCACGACAGTGAGTCTGCAGCGAGGACCTCTGAAACGTCGATAAACTTCTACCAGACTACACGGAGCAAAACAACCCAGAAGACAGCCATCTTCAAAACATGATATCCCATCTACATATAACTTCACTATCAAACACCAATGACGTCATACCGCCCACATAAGTAATAAATAGTTCTGTTCGGTTGACTCATCCCAACTTCTAGAAACTTGCATCTAATATCAAAAGTTTGTGTTTACTTAAGCTACTATAAGATTTCCCTTTTGTTCTCTTTACTGTTAATTGTAGGATCAAGCATACAGCTTCGTCCAGAAGGATGACGCACATCATGAGCTCTCAAATCGTCTTGACTCAAGATTTAGTAGTAATTTCTCACTCCACAGTCATAGAATGTTCCTGAAGGATCACTTAGGCAAGAGTTATTTGCACAACTACAAAAGACGTCTGTGCAAATACTGATCCTTGGACGCGTCATATCCAAGTCATGACCCACTGTATTTTGAAGAAACATGTTAAGTGTACACCCGTCCACAGGAAACTGTTTATTTTCAAATGGATAATTCCAGAGTTAACATTATTCTCCTCAAAGAAACAAGCTCAAAGTACGAGGTGCGATCGGAAAGTTTCAAGACTGTGTCAATAGAGGGCGAACCGGATGTAGTACGAGCTTCTGCCTCTAGGGGGTGCGGCCTACATTCATAGTGAATCAGTGTGCCAGCCGGCATCATCGAATTAGCATTTGTTTCTTAGTTACGGGCGTTTTGGTAGTGCATTACACCGACCCTCCTGCGATTTCGGAATGGCGGGTGCATCAAATTTTGCCAAAGACTCGCCAAAACGGCTAAGGAAACCTATGAAATGCTAAAGCAAACATTTGGGGAGTCCGCAAACTTTTGTGTGGCATTCACGTTTTAAAAATGGCCGAACCTCTGGCG